CGGGGGAGAAATCCAATAAATAAATAAATAAATAAATAAATAAATAAATAAATAAATAAATTTACATACTTCTATTCAGCTTTAAGAGAGCCAGTTTGGTGTAGTGGTTAAGGCATCAGGCTACAAACCAGGAGACTGTGAATCCTAGTCCTGCCTTAGGCCTAAAGCCAGCTGAGTGACTTTGGGCCAGTCACTCTCTCTCAGCCCTAGGAAGCAGGCAATCAAAACCACTTCTGAAATCTTGCCAAGAAAACTGCAGGGACTTGTCCAGGAAGTCTCCCGAAGTCAACACTGACTCAAAGGCACACACACATATTCAGCTTTAAATGCCATAGACAGAGTGAAGCCAGGTGTCTGCAGCATCTGCCTATCAAATATTTGGGATGCTTAATTCGTCTAAAGAGGTGGACAGAATACTGTAACTGTTTACACGGACACTCAGCACTAGTGTTTCTGGCTATTAAGAGATGTGAGGAATGCAATGGTGGCATGAGAGATCCTCATTGAAATATTATTGCCGTAACCAAAAATATCAAGGCCTTTTTGGCTAGTCTTTCATTTTCCACTATTTATGTATGGTGTAATAGCACATAGTGGCCACTTACTCCAGGTTTTTCTGAATGATTAATTGCAGCTTTGATCACTAATACATAATCTATACTGGAAACAGAATAAAGCTTGACTTAGTTAATTCTGTTGCTTTCAGTGTCAACAGTGTAAAACAAATATCATTTATTTTTCTTTGTTTTTATTGAGTTTTTATTGTTAGTCACCTTGAATCTCTCCAGTCTGGTAGCTTGTAAATCTAACTATGTGTCACAGCTGATGTTGGTCAGTTTTCTTGTTCAGGATTTGAACACTACTCAAAAATTAGTATCAAAATAAGTATCAGGTGCCCAATCTTGGGCTGGGATGTTATAGGTTATTGTAAGTTTAGCCAATCCAAATTCTTTCTCACCTAATGCATCAATAACAAATGGTACCCTAGTACCACATCTAGTACATCAATGACAATTGGTACCCTATCAACAACTTCTTCCAAGTGTTTGCAATCTCTATTTGCAAATCTTGGTATTGTGTAATTTTTTCCAGTTCCTTGTTTTCAACGTTACTGTCTCTTGGAATGTCTACAACAATAAACCATGGTTCTCTTCAAGTACAGCAATGTCTGATGTGTTACATTAATATCCAATTCATTTTCTGCTCTGTCATGCTCAGTGAATTTATCCGTGATTTCATGTTTCCAGTGATCTTTACTGACTGTGAACACGTACTTTTTACATAAATTGTCATGATTATTTATTATTTGTACATATTAATCTTTCTGGAAATTGTTGCTAAGACTGGACTTGAATACATGCAATTCTAGGTTTTTGAGGACTATTGCAGAAATACTGCTGTTTGACGCAGTTAGCTGTTTTCCTGTGGGTTTCAGTTTTGTCCAACATGTACTTTAATCAAGTCACCAGGAGAAGCACTTAGAAATTCAGTATTGACAGCATGTGGATGACAATCAGCATATTCTTTCTCTTGCCTCTTGGTTCAAAGAGGTTGTACATATCTTGATCGTTGGTTTTGGGGAAAAATGGACCAGATATGGGAAACAAATATAATCTATCCAAGGCATTCATAGAATTGTTGTAGTTAACTCAGCTAGATTCCATAAGTAGTATTCTTTTGAAAACACAAGTTTATCATCTGATGGCTGTCTTGGACCCAGCTTTAATCTGGGGTAAGGTTCATGGCTAGATATGCCTTTGCTCAATTTAAACTAGATATATCCTATCTGAAGTATTGCTAACACACTCTGCGTGACTCTGCCTTTGAAAAATAATCAGACTTCAGTGATCCATAAAGCAAATGGTCAGTGAGCAATTGCATTCATGTATTAATGAAATTATTTACCTCAATTATTTAATCCTTAACCATCAATGTTTGAAATCATAAGGAACTGGGCATATTAAAGACTATTTACCAGTAGAAGTTTGTGCTTGAATATTTTCAGATAAGACCTCCTTGACAGCATTAGTTATGCTGTTGGGCCTACCTCTTTCTCGGTAGTTTTGGAGACAATCATACAATGAGAGTCTGAGATTTCCATTGTTTGGTTGAAATCACTTACACATGGAGGCTGTAAATTCCCTACACTGATACAGGAGCTGCATGTATGCCCATCAAGATAGTTAAAAATCCGTCTCTTGGCTTTTGGGGAGTGAATAGCAGGGAGTAGGCTACGGTTAGAAGGGATATCAGGAAGTACAAACGATGGATTTATCAGTTTTTTCCCTTTTTCTGGAAAAATTGTACTTGTGCTTGTTTTAAAATGGGCCACAATGAGTGTTTTTACTGTGTAATATTATAACAGAATGTTGAATTCACTTCTGTGATATGCAGGATTATAGAAAAAATGAAGCAAATTCAAGCAAATTCATGCATTTATAAACAAATAAAATGTTTATTTGTTTATAAATGCATGAAACTCTCTTTCAGCAGTTGCAAATATATGCTGTATCGTGTAATATGTATGTGTAAGCAAAATCTTCAAAATCCTTTGTGTGTCGACAATGAAAGTAATTTTTTAAAACATGCTTTTATCCAATCAAGCTCTACTGTGAAGAATTTTGCTTTGATAACTCTCTTAGATTTTTTTCTTTCATCTAATTGCTTTTATTTTATTGTATCTCTCCTTTAAATTGGGTAGGATTTAATAACTCTGAACGAACATGTGATAAGGAGTTCATAATACGTCGGGCAGCCACTAACCGTGTCCTGAATGTCCTTCGCCACTGGGTGTCAAAACATTCTCAGGTACTTTTTATAATATGCTTTTTCATGTGAAGCAATGACACATTTTTTCCACAGTTTATGTATTCTGCATATTCTTCTCCTGCTTTCCAGTTTTTCAAAAAAGTCAAGAATTGATTAGACTTGCCTTCTCCAATATTGTGTCTCATTGATATGTTAGCCATGCTGAATGGAAATTTTGGGAGATGTAGTCACAACACCAATCTGGGAAAAACTATGCTGGCATTAAAACTTTGCAATAGCTTGAATATAATTTTTGGCAACTCTGTCTTACTAAGTAGCTCTTCTGGATATTGTTATTGCATGGTTTCCATAAAACAAGGTTTGTATCATAAACTGATATGAAAAGATTGTCTCCATTAATTTTTGAAGTATATGCAAGGCTATCAAAAATCCAGCACTGAATCAGCAAAATGTGTTTTCTGTATGCTTAGTTAAGTGTAATTGGATTTTTTTTGGCATGATTTTAGGGCAGATAAAAGAGCCATTATAGTCTCTAAATTTGATCCATGGTCCATTTTAAAATTAAGTATACTATCCTAGAGCCAATTATCTGGATAATATAATTTCCTATAAATTGTGCTTGACATTTATAGCCTCAAGAGTTCAGCTATATCAATGATAGTGCCAAAGATTTTCTATTTCTGGCCAATCTCATACAGAAGATGTATTCTGTTATTGGCATCAGCTATAGAAAGGAAGAATTATGTGTCCTTTCTTGCAAGTTTCTGTTGAGGACAGTTCCTAATTTTCTAAAGAAGAATAGCATAAACATAGGTTATTTATCTATTATTTTTGTGCATATAGAAACTGGTGCTATGTCATACCAGCTTTACACACAACAAATAATGTTTGAATGGTATGTACCATGTGAATTAGCCCACTGCTGCAGTTATCTAAGTAGGTATGGAATTGATCCACATCACCTGTCCACAATCTGTCCCCTTCCAGATTGTGCTGGAATACAGATCCCATCATCTGGATAGCTTTGCTGGCTTGGATTCACATGGGCAATAGGGCAGTAACATCTGAAGAGCACAAAGTTGGGAGAGAGTTCTCCTTCTGACTAGGTTCTATACAGAAGAGCATTATCACATGAAAGTGTGTTAACATAAGAATAGTGGAGCAAACCAAAACTATATGCTATCTAGTAGCTTGTTCCCATGATAGCTAGCCATATGATGATGGAAAAACCACAAAGAAGAGATAAGGACAAAAGTCTATGCTGCTGTTATTTTCTGGAAGCTGTTATACAGAAGCTTCCAGTAGTAGTAAGTGTGTACATAAGAAAAAAATAACTTCAAAATCCCCTTCAGGGGATTAATTAATAATTAATTAATTATATTTAGGTAGCCCAAATTTAAGCATATTTAGTCAAATAGGTCACTTCCAAATAACTTTACCTAGAATTTAATCATTAGGATTTAGCGTGTCAAGATTGACATCAGAATATTCTCCAAATTAGTCCAAGTATATCTGAAAATTGTGCCATAACTGTTCACTACATTCCAAATTAACTTGGCTAATTAAAATGTCTTGAATAAAATTGTTCTTTTAGCTCTGTGAGTTTATATAATTCCTTCATTTACTTGCACAAGACTTATGATCGAAGCCTCATGAATTAATCAACCATGTGATTTACAAGTTTTTAATTCAATATAAGGATTACACCAGAACATTCTGATTAAATACTTGGTCTTCTCTGAGATGACACAGTATAGTATCAAGTTACAGACTGCCAAAATAATAAAGCGGGTTTGAAAATTACACAGTCATTTTATTAGCATACCTTGTATATTTAAACAAATGATACAATCAGGTTTGGTAGACTGCCGTTTAAGAAATAACTGGCAAACTGATTAGGATTTATTTCTGTATTAGTCATTCTTAACATTATAAATTGTGGAATTATGTGCAACGTCTTTTCAAAGTTAGAAATTTGATGTAATTGTCCAGACTCTCTTCCTGTTCTTAAACAGAATCCAAATGATCATGAACCTAGGGCTTTAATTTTAGGGGAGCATATTTTTGATAGCACTCCTGTTCAGAGTAAACTTCAAAGAAGTAGTTGATCATTATGCATTTTAAAAAAATATTCAAAAGTGAGCATCATCCGGATTGGAATCCAAGCACGGAAGTGTAGGATTGACCTTTACCCGTTAGGGGTCCCGGTTCATAAGGGAGGCACAACTGCAACTGGTGTTGCCGGGAAAGAATCTGCTGACATGAAACAAACCTTTTTTGGCAGTCCAAATAATGAGATGAGGGAATGGACATTATTCTCAGTTTTCCCCATCCCCAGATTAGGCTTCTGATCCAGAGATTCTTGAGTAAGAATGAAAAGGACAGGGAACTCAGCTGTTGCCTAGGCCTTAGTTTGAACTTCAGATAACAAATTGTGTTGCTAGCTAAATAGGATTTTGACCCCAGCTACTTCTTTTGGATTATCACTATGCAAATTCTCTTCCAGGGAAAGGATCAGAAAGGGATATTTCCATTAAGCATAAGCCAATTTGATGTCCTCTAAAAACTAATGTGAACTAATTTCTTTTTCTGCTAAAATCTGTTTACAGTTTTTACAGTTTTATAGTTTTATAATTTTGGAATATG